TTTTTAGTGCAGTGGAAATTATGGAAGCTTAGAAAATTTAGAATGGCTGTATTCACCAGGCCAAAAGTCAGCTATCAGAGGTGAGGCTGTAAAGGCTTATCTGTTGTTACAGAAAACCAACCCCAAAGGGATAAAATTGCACAAAGGAATGAATACCCCCAAAGAATACTATCAAAGGATACCCCTCTGGGGTATAAAAGGATACCCCTTTGGGGTACCCCAAATCTTACCTTAGGAATGCTGGTCTGTGTGGATGCAGGCCTCTCTTCTTAATAAGCCTGTCTCTTTCAAAAGTAGTTTCTTGTTCTTTAAAAACTACCCATATAAAAAATGGGCTGTCCCGGCCCTCCCTGGTGGCGCAGTGGGTTAAAGCACAGCACTGAGAATCTAAAGCCGCTTCTGCATGAGTTCGATTCCCACCTGCCCCGGAGGTGACCACATGGCGTGGCAGACCTCTCCTGCGCCCACTGCTCCCTTCAGCAGTGTACTTCGTCAATCTGTCTGTTCTGTTCCCCACTCTGTCTCTCGTGAAGCCTCTCGCTGCCCCTGAGCCTCTGGCCTGCACCCTAGTTCTGTATGCACAAATAAGTAAATCTTTAGGGAAAAAAAAAATGGGCTGTCCCTGGTGGCACAGCGGGTTAGGACACATCACTGCAAGCTAGCGGCAGCTGCTTCAGGGCAAGTTCGATCCCTAGCCCCAAAGGTGATCCACAAGGCCTGGCAGACCTCTCCTGACTCACCCGCTGCTCCCCTCGGCAGTGTACTTCATCAGTTGACCTGCTCTGCTTCCCGCTTTGTCTCTGGTGAATCCTCTCACCACCCCTGCATCTGGCCTGTACCCCAGCTCTATATGCATAAATAAATCTTAAAAAAAAAAAACTACCCATTTACACATAAGCAAATATCCTTTTCCCCTTTCTTCTTTTTCCTTAATAAACCTGCCCTTTTAAAGTGCAGGTTTTTTTCTGCTTATGTATACATAAATATAAAAATATATTTTTCTTTAATAAACTGAATGGGAAACTGCCAAAATCTCAGTGGGAATCCCAGAACCCGACACAACAAACCACAACAGAAAGGTCTTCAAAAGTTGCAGGATTGAGTGCTAACAAGTCTGAGACATTTTGCAATCAAGTACATAAACTCAGTGAGGATTTCTCCATTCCTGCATGAATTGGGAGACATTCTCCCCACATTCTGTAAAAGGGGAACAAATAGACACACATGATGTAAGTTGAATATTAAAATGAGTACTAGCAAGAATAACTGTGACTGGACCAATGATTAAGGAAAGAGACCACCACAATTGAACTCCCTGACCTCAATCTTGCATGATGAAGAGAAGGAAAGGGAGAGGAAAATATTTTCATCCTATTCAGAAGAAATTGCTAAGGAAAACTTGTTGGCAGATTCTACAAATTTTTGTGAATTCTGTGATGTCCAACATACAAAAGAAGTCCCATTATCTACATTTTGCTGTCTGCAAAGTATTCCATACTATGGATATAGCAAGCTTTATATCTTTAGAGCCCCTATGGGTTATTTCCCTTCCCCCCTCCCCCGTTACAGTGTATCCTGTGAGGATTGAAAATCAAAGGTAAATTCCTAGCCATGGTAATAATTGGCCAAGAGATAGCTACTGATAGTCTCAAAGAAGTTTACAGAGATTTACATTTCCTAAATAGTACAGTCATGTGCCACAATAACTTTTTATGCATGTATGATGGCCTCAAAATTTCAGAGAATTCAATGACTGTAAAGTCATAATGTTTATGCCAGCAAAAGCTTCGATGACTTGTGTTTACAGCATTACTTGGTGTAACAACATGTTCTCTTGTACTTGATTTGATTTCATGTTATTTTGTTCATCATGGTCCCTAAGCCTACAAAATCCACTGTCAATGTTGCCAGTGAGAGGTCATAGTCATGTTGAATGAATGACTTGGGAATGAAACTAAATGTGATGAGAACTATGAAAGAAGAAAATCAGTGATGGTTATTGCTCACCAATCAAACAAATCCATTCCACCATCACCTTAACAGAACAAGATGGAGATGGAAGCTGATAAAGGATCAGAGAATTCTGGGTGGTTTAAATGATTCAAGAATCATTGTTCACTATGAAGAAAGAGAAACAAACCAAACAACCCTACATGGGCAGATTTCTGAAAAGAGCATTATCTCCTTAAGAAATCATCAGGACAGGGCTGAAAAGGGAGGCAATGTGGCAGCAGTGTGAAGTTTTTTGAGGGTTTTAATCATAAGTGTTGAGATTCGTCAAATGCTTTCCCAGCATCTACTGGATGATCATACAACTTTTTCTTTTTGTTGCTGTGGTGAATTACATTGATTAATGGGTGGTGAATCATCCTTGTGTCACTATAGTAAATCCCACTTGGTGAGAGTGTATACTCTTTTTTTAATGCACTGTTGGATTTTGTTTAAAATTTTATTGAGGATTCAGTATTTGTATTCATTAGCATGTACACTAGCATGTAGTTTTCTTTTTTCTATTGCGTTTATTTTGGTATTTATGTGATGCTGGCCTCATGAAATGTATTGGGAAGTGTTCATCCTTTTTTTTTTTAAAGAGTCTGGGCAAGATACACATTAGTTTAGTAGAACTCACTTATGAAACCATCAGATCCTGCACTTCTTTTTGGAAGCATTTCAATACAGTGTTCTTTTGTCTTAAGATTATTTTGAATATGTCACTCCATTTTCTTCTCACCTATAGTATTTCTTCCGAGAAGTCCAAATTTAGTCTAATCTGTGTTACTTTATAGACTGTTTCTTCCCCCCCATCAGTTTCATCATTTTTTTTCTTTTCTTGGCTCTTGCAAGCTTTAATACTGGCCATGTGCAAGACGGTAAGTTCTCTTTCCTCATTCCTTCTTTAAATAAATCCTGTTACTGTTTTTCAAACTATGTCTACTTTGGATTATGTCCTACAGCTGTTAGCACAAGAGGTCAGCTATCTCACCTCAGAGAGTGTCTTCAGTGTCTGTAAGTCCCAAAGGCTGCTTGTGGAAGATGAGGTGGCATGAAATAGCCCACAGAAGCAATGTAAAAGCTGAGCTGGGGCCCTCCCTGGTGGCGCAGTGGGTTAAAGCACTGCACTAAGAAGCTGAAGCCAATTGCGCAAGTTTGATCCCCACCTACCCCGGAGGAAATCCACATGGCGTAGCAGACCTCTCCTGACCCACCCGCTGCTCCCCTCAGCAGTGTACTTCGTCAATCTGCCTGTTCTGTTCTCCACTCTGTTCCTGGTGAAACCTCTCACCCTCCGCATCTCTGGCCTGTACCCCGGTTCTGTATGAATAAATAAATCTTTAAAAAAAAAAAAAAAAGCTGAGTTGGATACTCAGACATTGACAGATTCAACAGCCACCAGGAGGTTGTGCCAGAGAACCAGGGACTGTAATCAACTCTTTAGGATACTGGGCTGAGTCTGAAAGTGCTCCTTACAGATGATGTCAGAGGCAAGAGCAGAGGCAGGTGCAGCAGCTGAGTCCCTGTGATGGTCTACAGAGGTGAGGAGGTTTAGAAGTTTATGAAGTCTATGAAGGTCTAGTGAATCTCACTGAGGTCAACTGCTGGATGTGTCTCTCCCTTCAGAGGCTAGGGGCAGAATCCTTCTTTTCTGAAAGTGGTCTAATGAATGCTTCCTCTTTGGAGGCCAGCTGTTGACTTCTTTTCAAAGGCAATCCAACAACTCCTTCTTGTCTCTTCCGAGGTTGCCTACACTGACTCATGCCCTTTTTGGTATTTTCCAAAAATTGTTATTGCCCCTTTGAAGAATTCTTGAAAGATTCTCGAGAATCTTTTAAAAGTGTTGAAATAACTGGAAACCATCCAGTTAGTAGTACTGGACACTAATTTCCTTCTACCCTTCTAGGTTCAGAGCCTAGAAAATTAAGATTAGCAAAAATAAAAGATTAGCAAAAGAAACACAAACTTTACCAATTCACGCAAAACCACCTTCTGGTCACTCCAATTAGCTATATAGTCTCTAAAAGAAGACCAATAAATTAAGGAGGGAGAAACGAAAAAGAACTTTGAAATTTAAAGACCTATGCGGGCTCTCTACATATGTACTGACAACAGACTTTGCAAGCCTTAGTACAGGGTGATAAAATTGAAAGACTGCCTGCCTCCCACCTTCCCAGAACACGGTTTCTTTTAGTTAGAGAGATAATCAGGCAAAGGATCTTGTTTCGGTTTATTTCACTTCAACACAATCAGCATGCCACGCAGACAAATCCTGTGGCAGCCTCCCTTTGGTCCCTATAGTAGATGCCTACGGATTCATTAATACGTGGTTTTGGAAAAAATCAATGCGGACAAAACACCAGGTAGCCACTACAGAGCCTTAAGTCTTCAGGCATAGCCACCAAGCAAGGACTCAAGAAAATTCAGGTTACAGCTTTCGAAACTCTTACTGGTGTTGACTCGAATTCTCACATAACTGCTTCTCCACTAGTGTAAATACATTAAGACCCAGGTGGGAGTTTTCCAACATTGGAAACTATTAAAGATTTTAAAGCACAGACTATCACACCTTTGTACCTCGCTGGTGCTCCTGTCTCGTAACCACAGACTTAGGGCACTAGATACATTCACAAACCCCTACCGACTTGAGGACAATTAAAAGAATGAAGACATTTCAGGGCTCTCCACTGCTCTCCTCCCTAGGCGGGGAAAGTCAGCTCCTCTTCAAGCCCCACAGGGCGCAAACTCCCCACTGGGCAGTTGTAACGTCGTCTAGTCAGGAGGGCAACGGGACACAGAGGGCACAAGTCTGCAAAACGTACTATTAATGACCGTTTTGTCTAACGGCTCACATAACCACCCTGTCCACCAAAAAAGACTCCGCACACTCAACAGACCCCCATTCCCGAGTCTCGCGTGATCTAGCTGTTCTCGGGCTCGCGGAACTTGGGCGGCGGCGCGAGAGCATCAGGTGACTTCCAGTCTGGCTCTCACGCTTGCGCAGATGGAGCCAGCGCGGTGGCTTGGGGTGCTGATGCCTTCAGCCGGAGGTCGGTGTTATGGGGCTGAGCCGCGTGCAAGCTGTTTTCTTTGACCTAGACAACACGCTCATCGATACGGCCGGGGCGAGTAGGAAAGGCATGTTGGAGGTAACGTCCTGGCTCGTGCAGCCCTACTCTCTGGCGGCGCCGCAGCCGTACTGGTCGCGTTCCGGATTCTTGGTTGCCCCCACCCCCACCTTCCTGTCTTCCGCTCCTGTAGTTACCGCGGCCCGCCTAGGGCTGCGTCATCCCAGGGAGCCCCTGAGGCGCTGGCCTGTGTCCTTTGATACTTGTCCCCTCACGGGAAAGAGCCTAGAGCAGTGGGCGAGGGTTAGCGGCTTGGGGACGCTGTCTTCTCTCTGCACGGAGGCCCTGGGAGGCTGGGTTCCCGAAGTCTGTTCCAACCCAGAAAAAGCTCATTGAGTCGCCCCACAAAGAGACGGCTTCCATGCCGCAGAACATCGGACTTTTTGGCAGTAGGTTTGGAGCAGCGAGATGGAAAGCTTGCACCACGCTCTTCGAGATTGACCCCGGGGGAGGTCGTCACCCACTGCCTGTCTCTTTAAAGAAACTTAACAGCTGGCAAGTTCTTGCCTGGGATGCCAGATGTCTCCAGGGAATTTTCTCCGCGTCAACTCCCTGCCGGTCTCCGTGCTGTGGGTGTGAGCCTTAATAGATTTCTGAGGTGATACTCAGCAAACGTTCGGCTGTGCAGGGTATTCCTTTCATGAGGCTTCCCTCGGCAGCATCCTCTCCTTTCTCTACCTACCAGTGCGCCCTTTCAGAACTTTTCCATCATTTCCAAGCCTCTGATTCACTCCCCCTTGCTTTCCTCTGCCTTAAGCTTGAAGGAGAAAATCATCTCCCCTGCTCCAGTTAAAGCTGAACTCGTCTCATCTAGACTGCTACTGTGTCTTGTCTCTAGGATTATCCCATACAGTGTATAAGACAGCAAACTGTCTTACTCATCTTTGTTTGTTTGACATATGGCAAATGCTGACTGAAAGCAGTATTGGTGAAAAACCAGATCCCCAGACTTGGTTCTGTTACCATTTCCTTTCTAAATATTCTAAAAGCAGAATTGAAGTGTGTGCTTTTAACTAGCAAGGAACACTTTTTCACATATAAATACAGTACAACGCCAGCTTTCATAAATTGTTCTGAATGAATTATAAATGGGAAAAGATGCTGTCTTGGTGGAGAAAGGATTCACATACTAACCGTCAGCTTTAATAAATATAAAAAGCAGGGGGGAGCCAATTGCAGTTTTAAACAACTTAGGTTAGTCAGATTAAGTCCTAAATGATGACTGAAAATAACAGGAGTACAGCTTGAATTGTTAGTCTGTTTGTTGCCAGTCATCATTTTGAGCATGTATTTTTAAAGGTTTATTTGGAATTCAACTAGCTCATCTTTTAAAATTGTATTCTATATTTTTTTCTTTTAAAAATTGTATTATAAAGTGTTCTGTGGTTTCCATTCCGGCCTTGAAAAAAATCTTTCTAGTCACAGTTAAATACAAATACTGATGTTAACTTAATTCTGGGTTCCTTTTTGTGTATATTGAGACACAGCCTTAGAATTTTGAGTAGATAAAGTATATATTACAGGTATTCCACCATTTTCAAAGTTTGCATTATACCACTCTGCTTTTACAAAAGACTTGTATTAGTACCTGTTTTTGCTAACTAAAGAAATCTAAAGAGTATTTTCTTTCTTCTTTTTTTTTGGCAATAGCCAAAAAGCTAAAATTAACCTTCTGGGTTGGTTTATAGCACACACTCCAAGCAGTGAGTGTGGCCCTCTAAGCTCCTTTGTCGGATGTTATTGTCATGTGACTCCTGCCTTTATTATATGTTAGCATTATTTGTGATTTGGTAAGGTTTTCTGGGATCTGAGGGTGCACAAAAATGTTCCCACATAAACTACAATAATTGCTTCTTCCCTTTACTACCTCATGGAACCCTTTTTAGTTTCTGATAGTGAGGGAAATCTTTGTCTACAAATTGATCTCCTGTCTCACACTGTCTTGGTGCCCCTTCAGTAATTAGTATCTGGCCTTATCTTTGCACAAATTGACACCTTCCCACTTAGAGATATTTTTTCTCTACTCTGAGTTGACTCAAAAACTCCCATTTTTTCAGGGCTCATGTTAGGATAATTTATACTAATAGTGCATGTTAATTCAACTTAAGTGTTGTGTTTGAAACAAATACTAGTATATAAATGGGGATAAACTACCCCCCCCAAGATATTAATAGTATTAAAATGCTTCCTGTTATCACAAATGAATCTGTAAGTGGTTGTTCTGTGACAAAATGGAAAGTTAATTCAGGGGATGTAATGGGAAGAAGTTTGCAGCCAGAGTAGTATTCCATGCCTTTATAAGAATCTGCCTTTAAAGTGAACCAATTCTGCTTATACAGAGTCCAGAGAACATGTGTATTGCATTGCCAGTTGCATTAACAGGAAATTGGATCTTACTGATGTCTTTTTCTGCTATGAGCCAAATCCTATTTATCTCAAGCATAGTGGAGTCTTACTAGCCTTCTGTCCTTTGTGTTGCAATAAGGTTGCCCAAACTTTAGAGTGATCTTCAGTCATAGCACACGACTAAATCAGTTGACATTCCAAAAAAGATGGTGACATCATTATGGGAAATTAAAAAGGCTTGATTTGTGAATTGAAATTTGACATATGTGGCAAAACCTTTCAGAGTTTTGCCTTCAACTAATATTCTTAGGGCTGGTTATGCTTTTCTAGGTTTAATGAAATGTATCTTAATGACTACATTTTCTGATTAGCACAAATAGCCTCCAAAATTTTTCCTTTACCTTCTCTATAAGTGATTCATACATGCTGAGCAGAGAAGAATGTCTCCAAGTTTTTAGTTCCGGTCATGTGCATTGCATTCATCTTCAAAGATCCAAAATTGCCTTGGCATGAGTGACTTTCTCCCATGTCCCTACAGCAGCGAGGACAGGTGCAGGTTATTTATTTGGAAATTGGTCCCAGGAAGCACTATAGGAGACAAGAAAAACTGGGAAAGATTCTAATATAGGTTGCTGCCAAAAGCAGGTAACTTGATATGAACAGTCAAGATACTCTGAAAGACATGTCCCTCCATGGGATTAAGAAAGCTGTGAGATTTTTGTTCTTCATTGGTTGAAAGCTGCTTGCAGGGCAATTTATAGGCCCCAGCTTATATGTGTGTAGGGGCTCCCCCTGTGGCCAAATAAAGCTCCCATGCAGAGAAGCACAAATCCCTGCGCTTAAGGGAATCCTGTGTGCCAGGAGCATTTGGGTAGCATCTGCTACAGCCTGGGGTTTAACAAGCAACCTCTTAAGCTTCATCTCTAATCTGTTCCCTCATATGCATTCTGTTCCATCTGAACTCCTCTTCTTGCCTTTCCCAATCTGTTCACAAAATTCAAAACTCTGTTCCTGTGTTCATTCTCTTTCTGTCAGAATCATTTGGTCCTCCTTCCCTCCCCCCTTCATGTGCTTGGTAAATTCTTGGTTTTAAATGTTATTTCTGCCAAACATTTCTAGGTAATCTGTGAGTGACTTGCTCTTTCCATTTGATTTCCCTAGTTGTTCACATGATTGCCATGTGAACCCAGTATTTGTGGTGTCTGTCTATCTACTTATTTCCCTCCTTAGATAGTTCATAAAGACAAGAGTGCCAGTCTCCAGTGCTTAGTATAGCACAGTGAAAGCAAGCATGTGAGCTTTGGAAGTAGGCAGGTATGAATTCAGCTCTCTGCTTAACAGTTCTAAACTTTCTCATCTTAAAATTGGAACTTCATTGAAGAGTTGTAGAAAGCATTAGAAATAATGCATACTCATCATTGAACATAATATTTGCCACTTCAGGGTCTTAGTAAATGTCAGGAAATGAGAAGAACCCAAGAACCTAATGAAAGCTTAAATAAAAGAGTTGCAGCAGGAATATGAGAGGAAGGGCTTAATTCTGGTGATGAATTCATAACCAGCAGAACAAGAAGTTAACTGGGCACTTGTGAAGTACAGAATTAGGTCCCACTTTACAACATGATGGTCAATTTAAGCCTTTTTAAAAATAAAGGATTCAGCCTCCCTGGTGGTGCAGTGGGCTAAACCTCAGTACTGCCAGTGAACCGTGGAGTTGATCCACATGGTGATCCAGACCTGGAGGTGATCCACATGGTGTGGCAGACCTCTTCTGACCCACCTGCTGCTCCCCTCAGCAGTGTACTTCATTAGTCTGCCTGTTCTGCTCCTCACTCTGTCTCCAGTAAATCCTCTCACCCCTTGAACCTCTGTCCTGTACCCTAGTTTGGTATGCATAAGTAAATAAATCTTTAAAAATAAAATAAAATGGATTCAGATGACAAATGGTTAGATGGTTACCTCTGGAGATAATTTAAATGATACTTGTTAGAAATTTAAAATATTTTATTCTAAAATGCAAGTGCAAGTTTTATTTTCATGTCTTCATAAGCAGAATAAAAAGCGAAGGACTAAAATACCAAATGAAGGGTTTTTTTTTTTAAAGATTTATTTATTTATGTTTACAGAACTGGGGTACAGGCCACAGGTGTGGTGGGTGAGAGCATTCACCAGAGACAGAATAGGGAGCAGAACAGGCAGGTTGACAAAAGTACACCGCTGAGGGTAGCAGCGGGCAGATCAGGAGAGGTCTGTCATGCCATGTGGGTCATCTCCCGGCCAAGGACTGAATATGTGTTGCAGTGGGTTTGGAGAGCTTCATAATATGGTGCTTTAACTTGTTGCACCACCAGGGAGAGCCCCGAAATGAGGGTTTTTTAAAGCTGTATATGAAGAACCTTCAGAATAGAAGTTGGGGGATAAAACTGATTGAGTTGTATACAGAGGCTGGGAGAGCTTGTTTCAGGTATTCTTTTAAAAATAAGACCAATTGGCCCTCCCTGGTGGTACAGCGGGTTAAAGCACAGCACTAAGAAGCTAAAGCCACTTCAGCATGAGTTCGATCCCTGCCCCGGAGGTGACCCACATGGCATGGCAGACCGCTCCTGCTCCCCTCTTTAGTGTGCTTTGTCGATCTGCCTGTTCTGTTCCCCACTCTGTCTCTGGTGAATCCTCTCACTGCCCCTGCACCTCTGGCCTGTATCCCAGTTCTGTATGCATAAATAAATCTTTAAAAAAAAAATTTCCACCACAAATAGTGTGGTAATAAAGTTGTCTTTAGACAGGAGTGGGTTCATAAATTGAAGCTCAGGGCAAGACTATGACAGACAAATGTATATTAATGAGTTGTTTTCCTTTATCTAGGTGATAAAGCTCTTGAAATCAAAGTATTTTTACAAAGATGAGGCTGAAATCATCTGTGACAAAGTTCAAGTTAAACTCAGCAAAGAATGTTTCCATCCTTCCAGTACCTGCATTACTGATTTAAGGACTTCACACTGGGAAGAAGCCATCCAAGAAACAAAGGGTGGTGTGGCCAACCGAAAGTTAGCTGAAGAATGTTATTTCCTATGGAAATCTACACGTTTACAGCATATGACACTAGCAGAAGATGTGAAAGCCATGCTTACAGAACTTCGAAAGGAAGTTCGCCTACTTCTGTTAACAAATGGAGACAGACAGACCCAGAGAGAGAAAATTGAGGCTTGTGCCTGTCAGTCCTATTTTGATGCTATTGTTGTGGGTGGAGAGCAGAAAGAGGAAAAGCCAGCACCTTCCATATTCTATTACTGCTGTGATCTCCTTGGAGTACAGCCTATAGATTGCGTGATGGTTGGTGACACACTAGAAACTGATATACAAGGAGGCCTCAATGCAGGACTGAAAGCAACAGTCTGGATAAATAAAAATGGAATAGTGCCACTGAAGTCATCGACCGTGCCACATTATGTAATCTCTTCTGTGCTAGAATTACCTGCTCTCTTGCAAAGTATAGATTGCAAAGTCATTGTGTCCACTTAAATTACATGAAAGGGCATGATTTCGAATTTTACGGTCAGATTACAAGGTTTGAAATTCAAAAAGTTAAAACATTCCATATGATTCACTTCTAAGAATAATTTCATTTATGATTTAATGACCTACCAACCAACCATTGATTAGTATTTATATTTGAAAATGCATTGTACAATAATAAAAGTTACTTTTAGTACTATATTCCAGAAGACTTGAGAAGAAGTATGTATTAGTGACATCTTTTAGTATCTTGGATCCATGAAAATACCACACAGGAAGTTATACATGGATGCACAAATACAGGTTTTATGTTCTGGCATTAAAAAAAATTTTTTTTAAAGACATTCTAGAATGTTCATACATGTAGTAGAGATTTGTAAGTCATTAGATCTCATTAATATGAAATAAGTATTAAGTCACATGCAAATCAAGGCATTTCAATTATGGTGCATATTTTTTAAAAGCCATATATAATATTTTTGCCTATTTCAAATGTTTACATATGAATCTTAATTTTTCTGCATGACCTGTTTGGGAGGTCCCTCAGATTTTCTTATATATATGTATATATGTGATAGATTGTTCTGGTTTAAAAAAAGCTGTTAAAGTCAGTGTGTGGTGCTCCTTTTTCTTGATTTTTTCTATCCAGGCTTAGCTTATAGATTCCTGTTAGTCTGTATTTCTTGTGGAGATATTTTTACTATCTTGCATATACACAATGGGCTTGAGGGGATTAAACAATTCTGGTGAAAACTACAACAGCATTATACCAAGTTATTGTCCTTCTGGATGCAGCAGAATTGCCTTGTACAACTTAACCTTCTCTAGCCCCAACATCCGTCTAATGATTGAATAGTGCAACCATGTGATGAAAACTAGTAGAAAAATCAGTTTTGTCGTGAACCATTTTCAAGGAATCATTTTAATATTTGACTATTAAAATTTTAATTTTAATCTTTAAAATTTGGGGAAATTTTATTTTGCAAATTTCTGTGTCCAGTTTTCACTTTGAGCTTACCAATTAATGACTCCATAGCAGACCTCTTGCAACTAGAAAATTCTAGACCATAAGGGTGAAATATCTCATGATTTCATAACTAAACTTGGAGTAAAATGATGGAGAAAATAATTATTTGGATTAACCTTTGAATAAGAAACTACTAATGCAAAATATTAGACTCTTGGGATATGTATGGCTATGACTCCAATTAACCAAAATTATTATACTTAAATTCCAAATTATGCCTGTTTGCAAGCTTGTTTCTTCTACAAGTTATTGCCTGTCTACCAGGAACAGAGTTCTCTGCCATTGTCTCAAATGCCCTGTTGTTTTCACTTTTGTTGATTTTGAAAGATGTAACTTTTGCCCTTGGCTGTCACAGAGTTGTTCTTGTTATAAAGCTGAACATTTATGAATAGGTTATGTTCCAGGTATGATGTCCATGTGACCTCAGTTTTATTTTTTAGCTATTTAAAAATTGTTAAGTTGGATGATCTTCCCAGAAAATAATTAGATCATTTCTACAGTAGATTTATGGTGAAGTCTTGTCCCACAGGATGGATGTAAGGCAACAGTGCATTTACAGTGTTAACTAATAGAAAATATGGCTCATCCGTAAATCATAGTGGCAGATCTCAACAATATAGCTCCTAGGATGTTAGTGAGTAAAACTGATCTTAGGGAAGAAGGAAATGAAATAATTGAGTTTCCTTATCTTCACAGTTTACGTAACAGGCTGTAATGCAATATTACATTCCTTTTGGATCCTAGAAGAACTTTCGGTTTTCTACCCTTCTGTGTGGGATGTTACAGAAGATGCTAAGAAATCATTGAGTAAAATCATAAATGATTTTGTTTTAAAATAATCCTTAAAATTAAAAAATTATGTAAACTTTGTCAGCTTAATTTTTTGCTAGTCATATGCTCATACAACCATAAGTTCTCAATTTTCTAGAGGCTCTCCCAAACACAGGAAGGCCCAGCATAGACACAAGTATATATTGTATCTAGAATACTTAGACCAAGAGGAAGCTTCCTAATTCCATTTACATATTTACCCACTGGTTCGTGAACATCTTAGATCTAGCAGTGCCCAGGTTCCAGCTGGTATTGAAGGAAAGTTACAGAGGTGTGTAGTTTAGTACTTGAAGCTTGTTAGCAACCCACAAAAATCTTTATAAACACTTTTATAGTAAATGTACTAATACAATGTACATGTTGCATATTTCCAAGTTTCATCAAACTACATGTTAAATTTTTCATTCCATCCTTTTGAAATCAAGAATTATACCCACTTTTGGAAAAGTACCATTAATTTGTGGTACACAAGTAAAGGTGAATGACAAGTTTCATCCCGAAAGTCCCCCTGAAGTTCAATGCTATGTATGAGTAGGTTGAACTGTGGTTCGCCAAATTTTTTATTCCTGCTCTTCAGTTTTAGGAAACAAATGAAATAATGAAACTTTTTGTAAGGAGCATACATCCTTGTAGGAATAGTCATCCACTATCAACCTTGTTTTGGATTTTTTGTAAACGATTTCATTGGCTCTGTGCCTATGGGTTCACTTTGAGAGGAAGGTTGGTGCAACTCTGGAGCCCTACCTCTTCTCCAGTCTGACCAGTTACTTTCTCCTTGCTGTATCTCACCATTCTGGTCATTTCCTTTGCCCTTTATGGTGGGTTTTCTAGTGTATGTGATCTGTGTACTTCCTAATTTGACACTCCTTTTTGGTGGCATGCACATGATCTTAAGTGTTGGAAAGCTGCCTATTTTCTCCTTAGATTATGGATACTGAAAGGCAATGTAGTTGGTTATACTTTTCAGTCAGAATTTCAAAGTCCTTGTTTTTTGGTCTTCCGGCAGCCATTTTTATGTGACCAGTTTCTTTTTCTCTCCTGAAGGTCTTAAAATTTCAATTTTCCTCTGTGGTCCGTGATGAGATACCTGGGCTTCTTGGTGATAATATGTTCTTCATCCTGGTAAATATGTTTGCTTCATTTATAATTGCTTGCCCACTTTTTTCTGCTTGCTTTTTCTGGTACTTCTCTTGAAATGTAGAGCCTTTTACTGTTCTGTTTTGTTTTGTCTTTTCTCTCCTATTGCTCCCTCTCTGGCATTTGTGCTACTTACAGGGAGGTTTCTTCATCTTTTAATCCTGTTGATCACCACCTATATATATATATACACATATATATGTGTGTGTGTGTGTGTGTATATTTCCAAGGGCTGTTTTTGGTTTTCTAAATTCCTTTTTAATAACATTCTGGTTTTCTTTTCTGAGTGGAATATTCTCTCTCCAAAAAAGTTACTGTGTTATTGCAGAATCCACTACTTCTTTCAATTTGTTCTAACCTGTGTGTTTGGATTTAATTGTCCACATTAACGCCTCCCCAGTTTGGATTTAATTATCCACATAACACCTCCCCAGTAATCTTCGTTATTCATAAGCTTTATTCCCTTGAACTGTTACCCAGGAGAAAAACCTTGGTCTCTTTCTACTTCCAGGTACATTTCGGACATCAGCAACTAGAAGCTGAATGGGAAGGGAAAGTATATGTTGGGTGTATATGGCCACTTAATTTCTGGTTGTAGTACTTGAGCCCAGCTGTGTGTGGTGTCCCCCAGGCTCGAACCTCTCTTTTATTCTCTATAGAAGCACCCCAACTTCTGTGGAATGAGGACTTTAGGATGAATTGGGGGCTGTGGTCTAGGGATTTTTGCTAACACCTTTTACCCCATCCTTAATTCATCCTTCCTCCACGACTGATGTATCCTGGTGGTGGTAGTGCCTACATCTTGGAGAAGTCTGCATCAGCTGCACTTCTTCCCCTTCTCAGCTTTCCCCATTGCTGGTCTTGACTTAACTTCTACTAGAATTCTTTGCCATTTGTCCACATGCTTTTCATCTTCCAAAGTTTTTTTTTTGACACCTGTTGTTTGTGTGTGTGCATGTAAATTCGTTTGTTAGAGTTTTAGCTGGCTTTGAGTTAGATACTTCTTAGTTGTAGATTTCCTTTTATCACCTTAATATAGAAACTTATTTGCTCTTGTGCTCATTGTTGCTCAAGACCCACAAATTCAATCCTGTGTGACTCATCAGCACCCACAGCTCGAGAAACTGCTCAGGTGAGCTGGAGACGGAAAGCTGGCTGGCAGCTTTTTTTTTTTTTTTTTTTGCTGGCAGCTTTTTTACCCCTTTAGTTTTGTCCTAAATTATATATGCAATTTATATCTTAAAATCTCTTCCCCAAGTTCTTTTTCTGAGTCCTTATGACAACATTTGGCTTCACTCTTAACTGTGGTGGTATGTCTCCCTTTTGTCATTTGTTCCTGAGTTTTTAATATTGTTTGGACATAGATATTCTGATTGACAACTCTCCTATAATCACTGCCAAGGCAATTACCCCATTGTTATTAAAGTCCTTCTGACCAGGATGTGTGCTGATTAGATCTTAAAATTCACTTAGTAAGTAGGGCAGTAGAGCAGAAATTTAGGTGGAATAAAATCATACATTTAAACCAGTTCTCACATATATGACAATAGAGTTGTTTACCCAATAGAACAAAATAATTTAAAGGAATTACGTTTATCAATTTTATTGAAACAGGGAAGTGAAGAGTGCCTGCTTACTGGGAACAAACTTTATGTATGGTGGCAGTGGCCTGGAACTAGGTAGTGATTATGGTTTCACAGCATTGTTAATATACTTAATACCCCCAAATTGTGCAACTTAAATTAATCTAAAAGCTAAATTTTATTATTTTTAGCTGGTATATATCATCCATATTACACGTGCCAAGTTTCTAATAATTAAAGTTGAGCTTTTAAATTTTTTTTCCATCTCTCAAGCTTAAGACCTGTGCTCTTCATAAAGAACATTAAACAACAGTAAGATGCACCTTGGAAAACATAAAGAAGGTACTACACTTAGTGTCCAGTAGATGTCAGTAAAAGGAAAGATCGCACTCTTCTGAAAACAGCTGTTTGCATAACCTCTGGAATGAGGATAATTTGTGAGAATTTAATGGGTTGACTCCTCCCTCTAAGAATGATAAACAACTCAGAGCCAAAGAAACTGCAGTTGGTACACTGGTGCACAAAACTGGTAAGTGACTTGTGCAGGATCTCCTAGGGATCCTTGCCCCCCGCAAGAGTTAACTCCCCAGTGAAATGTTGGGTACTATTGCAGGGTAAACAGAATGTCAGGATCAGGTTCAGAACACTAGACAGATATAAAAACCAGAAGAACTCTGTGGGAAATGTATATAACAAGTGTGCTGATTAAGATCCACAATGGAATGAAATTATGTCACTACTGTCCTTTGGCATCACAGGCAGGGGGATCTTTCTCCTGCCAGTGGACAAAGACTATATGAAAGTTCTAACCTTTTCTGCTCATTGCTAGGTAGTCTTGATTCAGACATTTAGAGGGCCCAGCCCAACAGACTAAACCACACTTCATCTCTGCACCAAAGTACCTGCCTGACACTCCCCTCCTGGACCTGTGCTCTCTGAAGCCTCCCTGTACGAATGGGGTGAACTGAATTCTACAGGCTCCATGCAAGCTGGGGTACAGGATGGTAGGTTGGATACTGTCAAAAAAGATCCCACAGCCTACAGGCCCAACTGACACAAGCTATGCAATGTCCATCGTCTGACAGATTCCGGGTGGATCGGGATAAGTTCTGAAAAATCAGACTGTCCACTGCTAATATATGACCTCTCTTTTTTGTATAAACAAAATACTCTGAGCAACATTCAGTTTATAACTGGATTGTCTTAGCCACACAGGCAGCTGCCTGGTTCAGGCAAGCTGCCCCAGGAGGAGAAATTCCTCTGTCTCCTGAGACAAAAGGCAAGCCCCAGGAGAAATAAGACCCCAGGACACAAAAACTCCTGGGAAGCTTCCTTGGTTTCTTTAAATAAAAAAGCAAACCTCGGATAAGGCTCCCAGGATATAAGGACTCATGGACAAATTTTAACCTTGACTACACAGGTGTTGCTTGATATACAACTGTACAACTTTCTCTTAATTTACTCCTTTTTAAAACAAGCACTAACTACTCTCTGCTAGCCTTAAATTAACTACTAACTTTTCTTTAATCACTGATAACACAATTTATTACTACCCCAAGACCCTTAACAACCTTTTGCTAACAAGCTCACCCTTTCCCAGACTCCTCTTCCTTTGAGTGGTAACTAGACAGCTGTATACATGATAACTATCACAAAACGTATAATCCATAATACCATAAATTGTTAAGAGAAGAATGCTTTTTCCCCTTGTCCTTGAGAATGTTTTATGGAGATATCTCATTAGCTTACCCTATGCATTATTACAATTAACTACTTGCTACACAGTATAAATAAAGACCTGATGAAGGGATAGCAGGAAGACTTGCACCCTATCCTGACTCCCGTGTCTTCCTCGTACCGGCTCCTGTCTCCCCTTTTGGAGTCTCTGCTTGCCGACGCCTTCCCAGACACCTCAAAAGTTGGAGCTAGTCTCCGACACCCAACAAATTTTCACCCTTGAATATCGATGGGCGTTTGCAGAGGCTCTTCCAAGTCTGTCCCTCCAGCTGCAGCTTCTGGTCCCCTCTCCAGGCTCAGGTTGTCTGGCAGACCTCTGCATCACTGACCAGTGGGGTCCCCTTTGTTTCCCAAGCAGTCTGCTAAGGACTCTAAATGGCTCTAGGCAGCCTCTTTCCCAAAGTCTTGCCCCATCATCAATGAGAAGTGAAGTATACCCTCTCTCCCCCCCCACCCTTCCACTACCTCTTGGACTTGCACGATTTCTGCAGAAAATGCAAGTCAACTTCTCTTCTTTAAATTGTTCCATTAGATTCCACTCT